ATAGTATAAAACACACACACACACACACACAAAACAAACAAACAAACAAACACAAAACAGTTTCCCCCTTTACAACAAAGCATTCATACAGACCACTGCAGCATATTAGGGAATAAACTGAGCAAGTAGTAGGTCACTCATTGAATGTTATGGAAAATTTATTGGTAGAGAACATAAAAAGAAATACGCAGAAGAAATATTATTCTGAAATCCATCATTTGTGAAGTTTCAAATAATATTTAGGGGATGGGGGATGTTACTTTGAATGATGATCAGACATATAACCTGGTACAAACACCTGAAAATTATATACAAAAATGGCAAAACCAATTTAACACTATTTATTTGACATAGTGACTATACAGTTCAGACAAACTAATGGACAAAGAAGACAGAGAAAATAAAAAATTCTCCTTTAAGGTTTTCTTCCTGTGCATAAGCATCTTTAGTAAAAAGTAAGGTATCAATGTCATTGTAAGGTCATCTAATTTAGATTACAAACAGAGTAAACTACCCTAATCATGTTTGTTCCAGATTAGTTTGGCAGAGCAGCACAAGGAAAGCCAAGAAGCATGTTTGTTTTTTCTTGTTAAATGGCAAACAAAGTAGTCAAGGATAGCAGTCATTTTTGCAATACAGAATCAGCCTGCTGAAAATTTAATTAAGTTACACAAACCCAGGCCTATGAAATTATTTTTGTTCCAGTTATTATTAGCATACTCAAACTTACTAGATTTTTGTAAAGCTCTGTTTACAAGCATGTCATCAGTAAATTAGGTAAAAGTGCAGCATGATACAGTACGATGGAAGACAAAATACTGCTAATAGCCGTGTACTGTGACTATATCTCACTTATTTTGAATAAATATGTAAATTTCCATCTTCTCCATATTTCAGAATTATTAACTTGGCTTAGCGACAGACTCATGGGTTCTCTGGCATTCATACACGGAATGGCCAGCATGCAATTCTCACACATCAGAGGATGAAGACACAAGATACAGTGAAAAGCTGGCAAAATACACCGCAATTTCTACTCTACATTGCAATAATGGGGGATGGGCCAGTGGCAAGACATTGCTGCACCTATGGCTGTGATATTGCTGTCAAGCATACAGCAGGCCTCTTCCCAGAGGGCAGAATAAGGATGGGTGAAAAGGCAATCTACACTCTCCATCTGCTATGGAAGATAGAGGATGATACCATTTAGCCTATCTTAAGATAACAAGCAGCTCAAGATACCTGTTGAACTGCCACTACACAGAAAAGAAAATGTATTTCAGATCAGACTACCATTAAAAAAGTGGGCAGGCCTGAAAAAGAAAGGAGTCTACAAGCTGGGTGTATCAAATTGAAACATTTAATGAGATTCACGTTCATACATCCAAGTGACTATGCATGATGTAAATTAGCTCCATGATCTTCAATTGCTTTCTTGAAAAACACACCAAGAGTTATGCATTTCTAACTTCATAATTAAAAAAATCTGTTGACATCCACATTTTCTTTTTCTTATTAAGCTTGACTCAGTGTTTCCTTTAAGAGCATAACCCTAAGTAAATGGAAAAAATTCAACAAATGTTAAGTGAATTGGATTTTATTTTTACTTTGGGTTATTATTGTAAAACATGCATTATTTACCACACCTACCTTATAGGAATGTTTTCTAACTGAGTAGATGCTTTGAAATACATCATTCTTTCCTCAGAGCAACTTTAGGAAAGAATGCCTTCAGAAACAACCACAATTTCAGAAAACACAATTTCGCTGAGCACAAATTGCTGAAGATTGTGACTGGAAGGTATTTATCAATCATAAGATTTACTACAGATTCCTATTTACTTTTTATTTGGAGAATGAACACGTATTTCAGTCTTCTATGTTTGATTCTCCAACTGTTTGAAAAGTTACTCAGGAGCTACCATTTCTAGAATAAATAGCCACTTCTTTAATTTTACAGCTATAAGCAAATGCTGACAAATACTGCATCCTGAAAGTTCCAAAGACTAAGGATATACTATAACTGTCAGTAACCAGAAACTCTGGTTATGACAAAATCCGAAAGCAGAAAAAGGAACAAAGATAACTTACTTAGCAAGTTTTAAAATGGAAGGGGAAAAGTGGATATGCTTGGAGGTGATAGGATATGCAATTAAGCATTTTATAGAGGTACATATCCGTCTGCACAAAAAAAACCTCAAAACAGAACAAAACCATATGAAGTTCTCAGCAAGAGACAAAGAGCAGAATGGCAGGTTTAATGAGCTCCTGGCATGAGACCAATATATTGCAACCATCTTCTATGCAGATTCAATGGCTCCTAAGTAAGGTCTTTGAAAGTCAGCAGTTTATGTTAAAATCAAGGTCTCAAAACACTGGAATAAAACAAGGCATGTATCTAACTCAGTAGTCCCTTACTAGGAAAAAATATCTCAACACAGTTTAGATTATGCGTTAAAGCCTCTTTGGTTAAGATATGCAAACTATGCATCACATGCATTTGCAACATAAAGTGGTGCTTCAGACAACAGATATCTACCAATGTTGCAACAAAATTAGGCTTATTTAGAAAAATATTTTAAAGGGCCAAAAAAGGCTTGATTGCTGAAGTTCCTCAGAACTGACTATTGAAATACATTTTCCTATGAAGCAGTTACTACAGATAAGTATCAGCCAAATCTTCTCCCTGGAGCTCCATCTACTGACATCAAAAAAAAAGCTGCCACATGTTTCTCCTCAGAAGTCAGATCTGTAGCCTCAACATGAGGGGCCAAAGTTGGCACTGAATGATGTTCCCTGCACAGATTTTAAAAATGCTTCCTCCACTGTAAGAACAGCACGGATAATATAACAATATTTACCTTCCAGGGATTCAATTCCAGTTGCTTGGGCCAACAGATCTTCATGTCTTGCAACAACCTTAAAAAAAACAGAATATAAAAACGGAATATAAAAAAAATGGGGCCATGCACCTAAAATGAGGATTAAAATCATCATTCCTACATTAGGTATTTAGGTATCACCACCCCTACATTAGGCAGACACAGAAAAAAGCAGGTACATCAAAGATGAAGGGGTTTTCAAAGCACAAGGGTTTTAAGTCACAAAAGCAGCAAGCTCAGAACAAGAAGAGGATCAGTAACTGCAGCGTACCTGACAACTTAATTAAAGCCAGCAGAGCAATCACATTTCAACACACCTTCATATATAATTGTAAATGTGAACTTATTAATCACACAACAATAATGTATATCCACTATTTTTTTTTCTATTTATAACATTTAGAAACTAAGTTCCCAAAGAACTGGCCAATATGGGCAGAGTTAGGCAGAAAGCAGGTTATGATACTACACACAAACCCACTGCAAGGTCCACCGTGGATTCATAGTTTCCACATAGAAAACATCTTCTACTACCCAAACTCAAAAGCCTTTCTAAAGGTGTAGAGGTGTGTTAACGTAGGTTTTATATTTGCCTAGGTACAGGTACGTCTTAGGGCTTAAGCTACTCTCCAGCATAGGATGAAAAGGTGCAAGTTCTCCCTGTCTTCTCATAATGTAATCCCAAAACATGTTAGTTGACATGATCATATGGAAAGACTCAAGGGACCATCTTATAAGGAAGAGCAGCATACAGAGAGGTTGCAGAGATACGTATCCCAGTATACAGCCTACAGAAACTGAAACTGTATATGGTTTCTTGGTAGGAAGTGTGCGCTTAATTGAGTTCTCAGAATCACTAATAGCTTAGCTGCAAGCTGTACTTTTAGTTACTACTTGCAGAGGACACCGGGCAATTTCAGAACTTACAAGATCGTAAGATTACTAAGTTTTTGATTACTTTATATCAATCACCCCAGAACAACAGGTATGCTTTAAACTTACTTGTAAATGCAGCTCTTTATCCAACTGACTAATACCTTGGGCAAGTTTTGCCAGTTGCTCAGCTATCACAGCCTGATGGATAGACTGGGAAGTGTAAGCTTTCACATCAAAGTCTTCTCTGAAGAAGTCAGCATAACACTCTGAAAAAAGATTTAGACTATTTATATTCATGCATCAGAACAGTTGAATAATATTTACGGAGCCAGAGTGTACAGTTATCTGACCTTCAATTCACGGTGTACGTTGTCTTCATCACATAATACAAATGTGAGAAGGCACCAACACCAAGAGAAACGGGTTTGGAGCCGATAAATGAGGCTGGAGTTTGGGTTTGTTGAGGTTTTTTTGTAAATGGTGGTAATGACTCCTGTTCCTTTACTGCCAACAACCTTGAGTGGAAAACACTAAAAAGTGTCCGTAATCTTTTTCAAACTTTACAGCATTAATGAGGGTGAGGTTGTTGAGCTTGTACCGTAAACAAACACACGCCAGTCACCTCCCAGTAACTGACACGTGGCACGCCACAACTTCATGAAATCATACCGGACTCGCAACGGTGTGGGTTTATAACACCATTAAGAAATGATACTGCAACGATGACTGTGGGTCAAGCAAGACCGGGGTTCCCAGACAGCGACTGCTAATTCCACCGAGCACCCTCGCCTCTCCTTCCAGTGCACTCCTTCCCTTCGGGAGACAGAGCCCCCTCACCCGGACCCTCGGCCAGCGACCCCTGCCCGCCACCCAAACTTTCCCTGAGTCCAGACCGCGGGGCTGCCCTGTCCGCCCCTCCCCGAGCTCCGCCCGCCCGGCCCGACACCGCCCTCGCCGAGGACCCTCCGTGTTCCCCGGGCCCCCCCGGGCGGTGCGGCCGTCGGGGTCTGTGCCCGGCGCTGCCCCCCCAGCCCGCGCCTCACCGTCCCCCCGCAGCTCGGCGAGGGCCGGGGCCGGGGCCGCCCCCGCCTCCTCCATGCTGGCGGTGCCGGAGCGCGCGCGTCACTCCCGGCACGCGGCGCGCGGCGATGATGGCGAAGGCGCGCGACGGCACGTGGCGATCCCGGCGGGAGCGGCGCCGGAGCCGGGACACGGCCGGGCCTCGGCCCTGAGGGAGCTCCTTCTCCTGGCGCTGCGCAAGTGAGCGACGTCCTGCGGGGCGCTGCACCGGAACGCTTTTGTTTGTTTTTTTTTACCGTCACAGTTCAAACAGGGATGCTTTGCAGCACGGCCTGTGAGAAGCAACTGAATGACTTCCGTTTCAAACGCTGTTTGTTTTTCCAGATGCCGAAAGGACTGCTAGTTATACATGATTGGTGACACCACAGAAGCTAAAGAATGCCGACGAAAAGATCCCATGGATTTGTTTCGTTCTGGCCAAGTTGTGAAAATATGTGCCCCCATGGTCCGCTATTCAAAGTAAGTAGCTGTCATGTCAGTTTTCAGTGTGTTTTCTCTGAGAAAGTTTATCTTGACTGTAAAAACAAGTGTGATTATCTTTTTCTCCTTTAGTTACTTAAGACAGAGGTATACATGGGACAGGTTTTATCCTACGATTAAACAGCTCCACGGTACTGCATGTCAACAGCACTTTGAAACAGCTCCTCAGAAAAATGCCTTTACAATTTACCTCCTAATTTTCATGTTTCTGCAGGTTGGCTTTCAGAACCTTGGTTAGGAAATACAGTTGCGATTTGTGTTACACACCAATGATAGTGGCAGCAGATTTTGTGAGATCTGCAAAAGCAAGAGACAGTGAATTCACAACAAACAAAGGTATTTTTTTAATAAACCATTAATAAAACATTGTCAGAATGTTTTATGTGGTGATAAGCCAGATCAGCCAAGTGTATGAAGTTTGTCACAACTTGACAAATGTTAACAGTTTGGGTATACTTGTGTCTTACTGATAGTAAAAATTCTAGGTGAGAGTAAGCACAATCCAGTGATAGTAGGTCAAATGAAGTAGTGGAAAACCTTGGCTCCACCTGAAATCAAGGCCTCCAAAATGATGTAGATCTGTGATGTTTTGACTGCACATAGATGGCCAGCGGCCATGCACTCACACAGCTGCTCACTCATCCCTCCTTCATCCTCCCAGAAACACAGGAGATTAGGAAGAAATGCAAATGCAAGAAAAAATCATGAGTCAAGATAAAGGCAGCTTCATATGTGAAGGAAAGAAAGAGGGGGAAAAAAACAAGTGATCCAAAGGCAGTCACTTCCTACTGGCAGACCAGTGCCCGGCCAGTTTCGAAGCAACATCTACTCTGAAACACAAATTCCACATCCCAACCCACTTTCTCCTTCCTGAACCACTCCAGTTTTGTCACTGATCTTGATGTTATGCTGAGCATATTCCTTGTACCAGTTTGGGTCAGCTGTCATAGCTGTATCCACTACAAACTTCTTGCCCATCCCAGTCTATTTGCTGTGGGCAGGGGAAGGCAGAGTGAGAAAAAGAGAAAGCTTTGGCATTGTGCAAGTACTTTGCAACGATCGCCAAAACAGTTTGTGAATTATCAACACTGGTTTTGTCACAGGAATCCAAACTGCAGTACCACACAGGCTGCTAGAAACAAACTTTAAGTAAGTTTTAATAAAATTGAAAATTGAACTCCATCCCAGCCAGACCAAGTATAAGATGGCAGCAAGGTTCTTTTCCCAGCAGTTGTTTCAGGTGTGTTTCAGTTACAAACATTTAAGTAGTTGCTGGGAAAAATCTTCTGGTCTGTAGTAAAATCAAGAGTGTTGCTAAAGGTGAAAAAATTAATAGATCAGGCATTGATGCAGTGGAATCAAGGATTTATAAAAGAAGCAGGGTTTCATATTAGCTGGAGTGGAAAGTGGAAGGGGCTGATGTTGGACAACTTGAGATGCTGAGAGCAATAAGCCACAAAGATACCGGGAAGCTGAAGCATGGCTGGGGTCAGTGTGGAGAAGCAAAGCTTCAGGCATGGTAATGAAACATAACCAGAACACATACGAAAATAAGGAGTATAAGGAGTTGTACAGTGTCGTGGCTGTAAAGCAAAAGTGGTATGAAATACTTGGGAAGAGGTGGCAAGAACAATACAGATCTGCCGGCATGAAACGACTGCAGTAGAACAGTGTAACAAGGAACATACAAGTATAAGCTGCAAGGAAGAATGAAGAGCACTGCTAATGTGCTAATAGGCTAGTAAGATCAGCATGTAGGATCTATGAAGCATGATGATTTAATCTATTCAGACCACAGAATTTGTGGTTTCACAAGTATATGCAATAGGGGAAGTACATTTCACTATTTGAAATGCACTGACTACTATGGTGCATTATTCAAATAGAACAGAGCAGTTACAGAGAAAAGTCACGTGGGGAAACGCAGGTAGACACTCTAATTAGTAGAATTCAACATCAAAAAAAAGCATGAATAATTCATTGTAAAAATAAATGAGTAAGAACATAATTGACAGTATATATGGCTCAAAGGTCCACAGTCACTAGTTTGTCCCCTTTGAGTTTAGTTACACTTCTGATCTATTCGAAGTCTGGTGGCATTGAAGTTCCACAGGTCAGAAATGTATATTCTGAGGGGTGCAGGGACAGGGAAAGGAAGGTCTCCTTTACAGTTACATACTCTACCTTTGCTACCTGATAACCAGGGGTACAGAATTAAATGTTTTAGTGTTGTAAACATCTTTTCCCTACTCACTTCTTTCTTGCTGGCCTTAATTTTATAGGCTTCTAGAACACTCTGTCTCATGCTTTGCCCAGATTATAGTATTTACATGATTAGCATTTATACGTTTTCTGTGGTTTTATGTTTAACTTGCTGGCTGTCTGGGGATTTTGTCTTCTAAGTAGCAGAGTTTGCAATTTCTGTTTTCCATTTTTCTTCTGCATTAATGTTTCTTTGTTACGTATTTCTCAGAGATACCTGTTCTTTGTGGCTGCTGCTAAAAAATGTTGTATGGCTAGATTCAGTATTTTTATCACTTAATGCTCAACAAAAAAAATCTAGGAGTGTGGGATTATTCTAAAATATTAGCTATAACAATGTAAATCTCTTCAGCTAGGGCACTGTATTAAATGGACAGTGTTCTGAAAATGTCCATGGGATTTTTTTTGCTTGCTGGATTTTTAGGTAACTTCTACAAGTGTCTCAGCTTGATTGAGAGGGTACTGCTGGCCTTTATGACTTAAGCTCCACTACTTCAAGAACTATTTACTTTCCCCTAAAACAAAAAAAAATCTTCAGAAGCACTTGTGTTCTCTTCAGTGCTAGAAGTGCTTTATGCATTTATTGGATCATCTCTTTCCGTCAGTGCTCATATATCCCCCTTCTTCGTAACTGCAGCAATTGTTTATATGGAAAGTGAGTGCTAAGACTGCTTGAGATATTTTTAGATGCCTTTAATGTAATGCAGTAGCTGTAAAAGAGGAGAGCATGTTCCAGATGGCCATCTGTCTCTCTGCAGGGGCTTAGTAAATCACAAGTAGTTCAGCAGACCCAAGCTGAGGAGCACTGACACTTTGGTTTCTCACTTGAGACAAAGCTGCTGAAGCTGCCTCTGTGCATGTGCGCTCATTCCAACTCTGCATATCACACTGTGGATAAAAACCAGCCATGCTGGCACAGAAGAGGAGAAAGATGGGATGAGATGAGGAAGGGCAAAGCTTGTGGGTGGTTTAGCTCCTTTCTGAAGGGTTGGTTCTCTAAGCAAGTTTCCCACCTGGCAAGACAGACAGCCGTGTCAGCACAGCAAACGGGCAGCGTGCAGACAAGGGCCAGGCTAGGAGGGCAAACATGAAGGCTGCTGAAATGTGGAGAATACTTAGTTTCATAGGTGATCTTTGTGGAAGATAAGCAAGTGACTGGCTTCAGTCAGAAAAAGTGTATGTTAAGCCAGCAACAGTATAGGGCATATATATTTATGTGAATTTCCACCTCTTTTAATAGACATACTCATTTAGTATCCCCTAGTAAGCTGCCTTTATTTATTTGTGATCTGGGGCTTGCAGAACCACAAAACAGTCAAGTTTGGAAGGACCTCTATGCGTCACGTTGTCCAGCCCCCGAGCTCACACAGGGTCACCTAGAGCTGGTTGCCCAAGACCATGGTCAGACAGCTGTTCAATATACAAAAAAACATTCAAAATTTAGAATTTGTTCTTTTTATTTTCTGGGAATTTTTAAATCTCTAAATATCTTTTCATTGGAGTAGGTGACCATCCATTGATTGTTCAGTTCGCTGCTAAAGAAGCACAGGTTTTGTGTGATGCTGCACATATCGTCTGTCCTTTCGCAGATGGAATAGACCTAAACTGTGGTTGTCCTCAGAGGTAAAGTTTTGAAAAAGATGGGTAAATACAATGAAATAATTTGAGACTAAAGAATGCTTGTTCTCATTTTCGTAGTAATTTCTGTCTTAACCTAAAAATAGACTTCAAGAGAGAAACAGCTTTTTAATCTGTCAGAGATGTCTGTGTGGCAAGACACTGTTCTGAGTGTTCTGAGATTCCTGTCACCATGGTGAGACTGGGAAAAGCATGTACATTTACTAACTTGCCTTTTTTCATTTCTGAGAGACTGAGTGTTGGCTCAGAAGTGAAGTGTCCATCCCTTCTCAACAGCTGGTAAATATGCATTACCAAAAAGAGCTTGCTGCAAATAATTTGGAGAGTGTTTTGAGAAATTATGTGGCAATTCCCAAAACAATGAGGCAAGTCCCCAGTGTCTCAAACTTCTGCAAGTGAACGATAGTCTCTAAAATAAAATTACACAGGTTGTGTTATTTAGGAAGTGCTGAGAACAAGTTCTTCCATCTTGTATTAGATTTATAAGTATAGTGAATTAGTGATCTACTTCTCATTTGATTTGATAAAGATCTTGTCTTAACAGTGAAACAAAGTAGTAATGAACAAATGAAGATCCTTGCTAACTGGTTCAGTTAAGAATCATCTATTATATGTTTGTTAGGCAGTCTTTTTCTAAATGAAAACCTGAAAAATAAGATAGGAAATTAAAAGATAATATTATGGTGCAAATACTTAATTTCTCTGTTCTAATTAAGTTGTCTTGACTTAAAATTACAGTATTTGAGAAAAATCTTTTCTGGAGAGATCTAAGACTTCGGAATGGAAGTGTATTTTTTTCCTAAGCTAACTACTGTTAAGTATCCCAAACTATAAGTTCTTTTTAGGCCAAAAATATACACTTACATATGAGTCCTTTGTTTCTTCTGAATATTGGTTTGAAAATAACAAAAGTTTGTGCACTTCATCTGCCTTTATAAGAAAAATTGTTTAAGAAAAAAACTACCGCTCTTAAGTGGAAGCAAAGGTTTTTTCCTGCTAATCAAAATAGCGTTTTGCAGTTGAGAGAGAACAAAAATAATATCCTCACTTGCACTTCAAAAATCTTCCTTTTCAGTCCAAAGTCATTTTCTGTTTAGAAGAAATCCATGACCCAACGGAAGGGGAAACATCAAACTATTTATTTTCTGTATGATCTAAACCATTGTTGATTAAATTTTAGTTTATCTTCTTTGTGAGTCCATTTTGTGGACAGAAAAGTGAACTAAAAGAGATCAGCAACTTGTCTAAAGTTTTAATAGCACAATGCAGACTGAACCAGAATCTACATAATGGTATGAAACTGCAAACAAATAATTGCCAGTACTATCTCTGTTTATTCAACCACATGGGTTTCTGTAGGTCATAAGGAAAGAAATTGCTGTATTTGACTGAAATTGATCTGCATTTTTTCAAATGTAGAATACAAATGTTCTTTTTCTTTTAAAGATGGGCCATGGCAGAAGGTTATGGTGCTTGCTTAATAAACAAACCAGAACTCGTTAAAGACATGGTGAGACACGTACGAAATCAGATCAACAACCCTAAATTTTCAGTATCTATTAAAATAAGGTAGGTCTAACTTAAATGGTACATGGAGGAATCCTTTTTATTTTTTTAAAGAAACAATTTAGTATAATAATAAGTTATAATATTCTTTTAATGTAGTATTACACTTTATAGTAATGTGTGAATATCTGGGGCAAGTAGTCCCAAACTTAGATAGCAGAACTAGCACAGCCTTTGACTCCTTACCCAGATAAAATACTGTAGGGTGGAGTTTTCTTGCAATCCAAACAACATAAAAGTAGAAGTTAAAAGATAAAGGGTTCCATAAAAGAAAAGCAATGCATAGTCTCTATCATCACAAGAACTTATTTTGTGAGCTACTCTCCACAGTTCATCAGTTTCTAAGTTTCTTTAGACTTGTTTTGCATTGCTTTGTGTGCAGTCCAGAGGAGAGAAGGCTCTAGGGAGCCTTAGAGCACCTTCCACTTCCTAAAGGGGGCTGCAAGAGAGCTGAGGAGGAACTTTGTACAAGAACACGTAGCAATAAGACAAGGGGAAATGGCATCAAACTGAAAGAGGGCAGGTCTAGATTAGATATTAGGAAGAAATTCTTTACTGTGAGGAAAGTGAGGTACTGCAACAGGTTGCCCAGAGAAGCTGTGGATGCCTCATCCCTCAACGTGTTCATGGCCAGGTTGGACAGGGCTCTTAAGGTTTTTAAGGTCACTTCCAACCCAAACCATTCTATGATTCTGTGACCATTCCATGATTCACTATTTCACCACATATCCTGTGTGGCTTTTCCATATTTGTCAGTTAAGTTTCAACTCAGTTTCCTGTTCTTCAGGAAAGGGGAACTATTACAAGTGTTTTGTGGGTTTTTTTGCAGAATATGCAGAATTGTGCTATTTTAGAATTTTTGGGTACTCTCGCTCAATCTCTATAAAATTTACCATGTATGTTACAGAGATGTGATATTATTGGGAAATGCTAAATTAAATAGTAATTTTCATATGTTAAACTCATATGTCTTTAAAAAACCCCAAACACTGTCTTTCAACATAATACTGTCTTTATACTCTTATTTATACAAATCTGTGCTGACATCTTATGGAGGAAGTTTCCTGTAGTCCAGGTAACTTACTACTTATTGCTTTCCTTGGAATTTTAGGATCCATGAGGACTTAAAAAGAACAGTTGACCTGTGTCAAAAAGCTGAAGCAGCTGGAGTTTCATGGATTACAGTACACGGGAGAAGTATAGAAGAAAGGCATCAGCCTGTACATTATGATGCAATTAAAACAATTAAACAAAGCATGTCTATACCTATTGTGGCTAATGGAGACATTAAGACTTTAAAAGATGCTGAAAATGTTCATCAGTTGACAGAAGCAGATGGTAAGATTGAACATACTCTATTTTCTAAGTAAACTTACAAATCAGATTTCAAAGTATTTATTTTGGCTATAAGTAGGACATGATTTGAGTGATTTTCACTCTTTGAGGGGACAAAGGAAAGAGCATGTCTTAGATGCCTTATAAATTCATAAACAGAATCATTTGTAATCATCTGAGCACTAGAGCACTGTTGTTCAAAGCCACAAATAATGATTTCCAAGGCAAATTACAAAAGCTCTTTGCTTAATTATGCTGTCTCATCGCTCAGTAGTGGAGTTCAGGGGGACCTTCAGACACTCATTCCATCTCTTTATGGAATTAATCATCTTTTAAAGAACTGTAAACTTCTACTTGGAAATCTCTACTTCCTGAACATGGGAGTAGATTTCTTGCAGTAATGATCCAATGGAAAAAGAAATACTGTTAAGCCAGGTACTTAACAGTTGAGATGGTTAGCTTCAAGGACGCAGTGAGGCATTGCACTCTCATTTCTGCATTAAAATTTGTGTCCTGCAGTTATTTAAGTCACAGTAGGTTCCTGCAACTGTCTGTGGTCTCAAGACAATATGAAAATTTGGTATATGTTTTGAAGAGGTGATCTCCATCCACATACTTTGCATATTTCAACTAGAGAGCAACAGGACAGAGAACAGTACTAGAAGGAAAAGTTTGTGTGGAAGGTTTCTGCTGACACTGTTGCAGTTTATTAGCAACAACAAAAATCAGTTGAACCAAACTGCCGTTCTGCTTTACCCCAGAAATAAAGCAGGAAGGAAATGCATCATGCAGAAGAACAGTGCAGGAAAACAGAGTCCCTTAATCACAGAAAAATCTGACAATATGGGATTACAGTTCACTTGTTCAGAAAGATTTACTGCAGATTGAGAGTATTGAAATTTACTGAACTGAGCCATTGAGCTCTTACTGGAAGAAGGATTCTTGTTCAGCGAATAGACTTGAGTTGCACAAAAAACCCCTAAGTTTAGCATATTGGTGTCTATAGTAATTTTATAAGGGCAGGCTTGTATATGTGTAGCAAATAAAAACAAAATACTATTTAAGTGCAGCCTCAAAAGTAGGACAGAAAGGGCTCTGTGTCCTGTGTTTTGTTTCAAAATTTCTGGAATGCAGACTGTGCTGGTAGGCGTTGCAGATGCTCTGAGATCTGCCTTTTTAAGTGGATTTCTCTCATACAGCTCTAATACTAATCCCCGTTGTTCTCCAATTATTTTTCTGTAAGCTTTGTGTTGTTGTCCTAAGGGGTGCTATACAAAAATCTACATAAAATTTAAAGTAGAGTGTAACTTACTGCTTTGATTTCCACTTTGAAGGTATAATGGCAGCTAGAGGACTCTTGGCAAACCCAGCTATGTTTGCAGGATACGAAGAGACACCTTTGAAGTGCATCCAGGACTGGGTTGACATTGCTCTTGAGCATGGAACTCCTTTTACATGTTTCCACCACCACTTAATGTACATGATGGAATGGATAACGTCAAAACAAGAAAAAAAAGTTTTTAATGTTTTATCGAGTACCTCAGCAGTACTAGATTACCTGAATGACCATTATGGTGTGTGATAAATGGAAGTATTTTAATTCTATGTAAACTTATATTTTGCAATTGTTGATACATTGTTAAAGTTTTAATTGGGTTCCTGCTTCTTAGTCACATTTATCAATTGTGTAAGTATTTTCAACACAGCATAACATCATTAGGATGGTAATTTATTTTTTTAGTATTTTTGTGTGTACATTTTCCCCTCTAGAAAATATTCCAGATTCCACAAATGTGGAATTTGGTTTACAGTGCACATGTGGGAGAGGGGAGATTATTTTAAGGCTCCAGTAATTTACATTTTCACCAGACAATTGCTTACAGCAATATTATTGCAAAACTAGGGCCTTTCTTACATGAAACCTCCTAAAATCAGGACTACTGACAAATAATGCCAGTAATTTCAGACCAAAAGAATACAAAGGGAGCAATTATAGAAGTTTTTGCTTTAACTGACATAAGTGGAATTTAAATTTCAGTAGATTTTTAAACTTTAGGACTGTGAGGCTTTGAAGCCCAGCATACTATCCTCTTTTAAATTAGGTGTTCCTTTTGCAGACTAAAAAAAAACTTTCTAAACTTACTTACAACTTAGAAAAATTCCATACTTCACATAGCAGAAGAAATATGGAACAGATGAACACTGGTGGAAGGAAGGAAGGAAAAAGTACAATGAAGAGACAGTTTAAACTAAGTATGAACTTAGCTTGAATCTAAAATAGAAGACTTGAGAGTTCAATTTAAATTCAGTTTTGTTTATCTACTGTATGATAATTGTATACCAGATCCCTACCATTTACCACACCAGAACTTTTTAGGTCAAAGAAAAGCTGACAGATTCTCTCAGTAGGGCTCTTGCAGTCCTTTCTGCCCACTGGCATGTTGCTTATCAAAGCATGACAGCCACTTGGCTTTGAATCACTGTATAGGGGTGAAATAGTGAAAACTAGAACAGGATGATAAACATTACACACCAGCTGCATTTGTTCTGCAAGGGAAATTTCACAAAACTGTGCAGTAGAATTACTTGTAATCAAATAATTTGTTTTCTTTATATGTTTACACAGAAATTCATACCAAAAATTTCCTAGTTTTTTGACTGTGATTGTTCTATGAATATACTTGTGAATAGTTCCAAATTTTCTAAATAAATTACTTGGTTTTGTATACAGTTGTGATTATTTTTTGTAATTATGCAACAACTTTGAGGAGGGAAGGTTGCTTTTGATGCTACTCACAAATATTTTAATAGTTTAAATATCTTAAATTCTCACAATTTTTTTTATGCAATGTCATAAAATACTTGGACATTTTTCATTATGAATATGTCTGATTTAGACAAATGAATAAAATTTTGAAAGGCATGACCTGAGTCATCAAGTCTGGTTCACTATTTAAGAAGGCAAAGTTACGTAACTCTTCCTTCCTGATGTGTTAATAAATGGAAAACTGCAGATATGCTTTGCTATCCTAAAGCTAATTGAGACAATCTCTGCAACTTTTTTTAGTTGTGATAGTGTCTCCATTTCTTCAGACAACTATTTTTTCACTCTTCTGGTTTCTGATGTTTTCTTGACATTAGATGAGCACAAATTTGTATAGCATTTCAGGTAAGCTCACAACAATATCTTCTGCAGATAATACCTCTTCTAATGCCTCACTTTTCCTCAACTAATATTTATCATGTAAATTATGAGCTTCCAGTTTTACAGAAAAAGTTCTTACTTCCCAACTGCATGACTTTGTATTTTGTGTTGTTGAATTTCCAGTCTCAATGCAATTATTGTGCAGCTCAATTCTCCTCAGTTCTGAAAATGTCTCCAGCTTTCTGCCACAAAATTAAAAATTAAAACTGTACAGCTGAATTGTAGAAGAAGAGTATTTGTGAAAGTATTAACTAAGCCCTTTGTTAGCATTTTCTTAAGATTTTTTATGATGTTGGGTACCAACTGTTACATGCTGCAACCTGTCTCATGAGCCACAAGGAGCAGAGAAAAAAAATAACACAAATCAGCACAATATTTTTCCCTCTAGTAGTGGGAAAATCGAATTTTAGAGGACTTGAAATACCTTGACCTATTTAGGAACTGAATACTTGATGATTTTGAAGACAGCAGTTGTTGTGCCTGTGTGAGATCAATCACAGAGATTTCTGCCTGAAGTGCAAGACCTAGGTTGCTGTTAATATTGGTTATAATTAAGGAGTGCTTGATTTGGCCTTTTATGTATCATAAAAGTCAGCGGATGTTTATCATCCCTTTTTGAGCATGAAATTAATTGTTTGCCTTCCCCTGTGAATTTTGTATCTGAACACACTTCCCTGTGTTGCCATAGAATAAACTGCAGAATTGAAGTCTTAAGCCATGCTCCGAACAAAAATACTGTTCAAACATACAGATATTGCTAAAGATGGGAGTTAGTTATTTAATTCCCAGACTTGTTTTAGAATATGGTCATATTTCTCATTATAAACCATATGAACATGGAAAAAGTCTAATTTCCAATTTAAAGCCACTAGATGTATTTCTTCCTGCTATGTGTTACTTATAACATCAACAGGTGCTCAGTCTTCCTGTTTTCTAATATTCAAATTTTTAAAAGTTTTTCTGCAAGTAACCTAAGATACAAAGCATTGTTTCCTAATTTAGGACCTTTGCCTCCTGTAACTGATCTCACGACGTTAAGCCACCCTGAAGAACAAGGCCAAATGCTCCTAACAGCTGTACTTTCTTGCAACTTTTACCCTGCTGCAATAACCCCAGCTCCCTCACACAGCCTCTACAATCTCATTTTCTCTGTTCCCTATTGTTACATTTCTTAGGTCACTTCTCTGTCTTGGTTGGGCAAAAGCAGCGTGTGATGATGAGACACCTATCATAGAAGCCAAAGTAGAATAGAACAAGTTTAAACTTTGCCATTGTTCCAGCAGTGAATTAGTCTGATTTCAGTCTTCTAAGCAGCTGCTAATATGCAGGCATTTCCTATTTCTTCTGAATACTCTGTCACCTTACTGGCAGGAGAGGAAGGTATTCCTTGTGTAGGAGCACCTAGACAGACCACACCGGCCACGCAGATAATAAAAGAAGAAGAAAATACTAAAGCAAAAATATCGTGGTCCTGAGCTAGCTAAGATTAGTGCTTGTGAAAAGAATCATGAGGTCAAGCTGGAAAGCCGCTTTAGGCATTACTGTCCTTTGTGACTGAAAGCAGTCGCATGGGCGTGTATGGTATGTGTGGGGATAAGACACATCTGGCCTGGCTTGATAGCTCAGCCCCCTGTTCTGTACATATATAGGGGAATAAAATTATGAGTTAGTTCTGGCTGGACGAAGAGTCTGCATCCTTGTAACTGTAATGTTTTCAGGTTTGTGAGTTTTTTCCCTAAAGCAGACAGCCATTACATATATTGGATGGTATCATATTCATCACACAGTGGTGCACTATAAGATAGGCAGCCTTAGATTAACAACCCAGACTTCTACAGCTTCAGTTAAAATTCCTTCCAGGAGTGGCAGAGTGCATTCAACAGGAGAAGGGAAGTCTCACGGATGCTTGCAGGGGGCTTCTCTCTATTCCTCTGATCTCATTCCAGTTTGGTGGGGAACACACAGATGCAGTGGAAGTGCACAGCAGTCACTGCAGTGTGAGTTCTTCTGGGATCTTATGAAGTCCCTGAAGTGAAAAACCAGACTCCGAGTCTCTGGCAGTGGGGATGAGCAAATATAGTCCTGCGAGTGTGAGGCTGGGCTACTGGGAGGGGCAACTTGCAGTGCTCATAAGAGCTGAGTAAGCCGCTCAGAAATCGAAACTGCTCTGGAATTAGGGAAAGTCTGTATTAATGCTTTAACAGCTTCAGTAAAGTATAGTGGCTGTAGGCAAATAGCTAAAACCAGGACGAGAGGTTTTGTCTTCTCTATTCTGCTGATCAAATATGTTTATGAAAACATGTTAGAAATATTACTTAAGATCCAGGCTGTTCCCACTGCATAGATTGGATTGAAATGGCTGGTTATATCTCTCTCCAATATTTGTTACGCCTAAACAATTATTTGAGATGTAACCTTTCATCCAGACATTGCTTAGCAGCTGCTAAGAAAATGTTAACACACTGGCTCCATCCCCAGGCTGCAGACTTGGGAAATTTTAAGTAAACAATTTCAGATTGTGAGCAGCTGCAAACAGCTCTGCTCAAAACTGCTTATGCAAGAACTTCCTACCCCATGTCAGTTCCACTGGATTAGAGTAACAAAGAACTACTATTCTCTGCATTTAATGTCTCATTCTTATGGAAATTATTTGGAAGTGAATTCCCAAAACAGGTAGTTGTGTCGAGTGCTGGTGGCTGGTGATGCCCAGGTAGACAGGGTAACCTCTTCCTCTGGCAGCACCTCAGCATGTTAGGATCAACAGGAAAAAGTAATCAGGGGCAAAGCTGAGTTGGATGGGTGATAAAAAAGATGGTCAAGAAGTGGTAAAATGAGTACCAAGGCATGGAAATAATATCTTGGGAGCCTTGGTATGCTGATAAAAAACACTGCATAGGACAGTATGACAGAACAGGGTTTTCTGAAGGAATATTACTCGTGAGGTCCAAACGGGCCTGTTTGATGGTGTTTGAGACTTGCTTTGTTGTTATTGGTAGTGTATTTATGAATACTGGGCCTATTTTCCTCGAGAAAAAGATTTGCTGTGTCTTAATACACTAGTGTTAGGCATGGAGAGGGGATGGAGAGACACAGCATTTTAAATGAACGTCAGAAACTAAGGAGAAAACTGGAAGAGCAGAGTTGAAGTCTCAGATGGAATAAACTCGAGTCATGGAGCAGTGGGTCGATCACAGCAGGATTCCGCAGCAAAATGCTTACAACCATTTCCTAGATGGGGTGGGGGGGGAAAGGTAATATTCGCGCCAGCCTTTCTCAACGTGTAGATCCACGCATTTCCCAGCAGAGCTGCAGCCCCCCCGGGACCTCCGCGCCGCCGCCAGACCCAGCTCAGCCGCCCCGCCGGCGGTGCCGGGCCGGGGCTGAGCGTGGCGCGGAGGCGGCGAGAGCCCCGCTCGAATGGGGCGGCACTGACCCTCCCTCCCCGGGGCCCGCCCGCACCTTTGCCCGGCCCGGCCGGGCCGGCGGTAGCTCCACACCGCCCCCGCCGTGTCACTCAGCGCCGTCCCTGCCCACAGCCCGCGGGCAGGGCGGGGGCGGCTCCGCGCCCGCACACACCCCCCGCTCCCCGCCCGCCCCCGCAGCGCCGGCGGGAGAGACCGGCCCGCGCCTTCTCAGCCACGGCCGGCGAGGCCTCGCTCCTGCCCCTGCGCCGCCATCAGCTCCGCCGGGCGCCGGCGCCGAGGAGGTTCGAAGGCCGGGCGGGCGGGGAGACGGGGCGGCCTCGGGGCTCCCCAGCCGAGCGGGGGGCGGTGAGAGGGACCCCCGGGCCTGCGGCCGCCTGGCGGGAGGCTCTGCTGGCGGCCCTGCACAGCCCGCCGGGCCGGTACGGCTGCCGTGAGATCCCGGCCCCCACGTCCCTGCCCCGGGGGTGGTTTGGGAGGGGAAGTCGGAGCCGCCCGCTTGAACCACCCCTTCCCCCGCAGGCCGCCGGGACCATGACTTTCCAGTGGACGGCGGTGGCCGGCTTCCTGTACGGCGAGATCGCAGTAGTTCTCGTGCTTTGCCTGCCGTTCATTTCCCCGCTGAGGTACGAAAGTCTTCGGTGTGCTGGAGAAGCTGGTGCTTCTCACCACTTTGTGTTTATTTTACGCTTCCCTTTTTATAAACTCGGAGCTTTCCTGCGTCTTAAATTAGTTGTGAACAAAGCTGAAGGGGTGCCGTTTGGGACTTGAGCATCTCAAGTCCCAAATGCTCGTCTCTTGAGCATCGCAAGCCTCTTGAAGGAGCTTTGTGTTGTCTACGCAGTGCTGATTCATCCGAACAGCGGTCGGAGTGCCCAGATGAGCCCCTCTGCTGTGTTTCAGCAGGTGGGACGGCTTCTCCCAGGGCCCTCGCGTAGCCAGCATGAAGGAAGGCATCTAGCAGTAAAAAAATGAGAGGACGATGCAGCTTTTTCGGCAGTTGTTTGCCAAATTTGTGACAAACATCTTTATGTTTGGTTGTACACTAGGCATTGTGAGTGCTGGACAGGTAAGAAACGTCAGAAACTTAAAGAAAGCTGCATAAAGCATCTGTAAGGGCTGCAAGAAATCTGTGATACTAGTTTAGAAAAACTGAAGTTCGATGCAAAAAGTTCAGGACTACTAAAATAAAGGCCTGTACAGGCTTATATATAGATTAGCAAAATTATAATAGTTCTGGAACAACACAAAGAAAATTGTAAATACTTATAAAATAAATGCATGTAGTAAGAGAAAAAATATACTCATTACTGTTACTCTCTGCGAGGGCCTGGATTACAGCATTATCTTAAGATAGATCTTCAAGTTTGGTAATGGTAATTTCTTTACAGGAAATAAAGCTATCTTCTCTGCAAGAGGCAAGAGAAGCAGACTTACGATTTCTTTTTACAACATCAGGATTTAGAAAAAAAAAAAGCTAGAAACCACAAAAAACTCACAATCCTGCCAAAAACAAGAAGGATGAAACCTTAAAGCTTTTTCAAAAGAAATAAAAATGCTGCTGTCTCAGTGTTTTGTAAAAATTGTTGCTTGTTTACTTTCTGCTTTTTAAGATGTATTTAGAATTAAGAATGCAGCTTTTACTGTAATACCTT